TCATATTCATTTCAACTTTTCTAGAATCTTGCTGCTGAAGGAACCTATAACAACTTGGACGTGACACTGCGCAAAGCCAATGAGTACCGTAACGAGTGGTTTGAACAAGTTCACCGATGCACACTGGATGAGACGCTAGAGACAGTCATGGAACGCATAGTGAGAGCGGAAGTCCACCGTCTTGTGGTGGTCGATGAAGAAGGCAGAGTTGTTGGTGTGATTTCGCTCTCTGATATTCTCAAGGAGCTTGTTCTCAAACCTTGCAGTAAGTACATGAAAGTGTTTTCAGTGAGATGGATAGGTTGAGGAATCTCTTAACCCAATACCGTACAAAATGCTTTAACATTCAAATGCATGACACATCAAAACCCCTTGGAAATGTCTAGAATTTCTGAGGGTATGCTTTGGATATTTCTAATACATTGGATCTGGTTGCATCACGCTGCCAAAAATATGGGCCTTGGTGTTATATAAGTAGCCAATATCCCAGACATGCGGTGCATAGGTCAGACACACACGAACACCCATGAGCAGTGATAAGACTCTGTGCCTCCCATTCGCAAAGTCATATTGTGTAAACTTTTTTAGCTCTATCACCATTTTGCAATGTCCTTATTTGTCTTTTGATTTACTTTATCAAGATCAAATTTTTTTTTCCTTGTACAGACCCCTATCATCTCCTTATGTAGTAAATAACTCTAGTCACAACGGCTAGGAATACAGTGCACAGCATGGAAATGGCATTCTACCTGGCGCTGACGCTCTTTCAATCATGGCTTACGCATGTTACATTCCACATTCGTTTATCAATGTGAATAATGCTAAAGCCCCTTCTAAGCCCCAAATGAGTCAAATTACACTCCCAAGAGAATTGTGCACTCATGGCGAGTCTTTCCTATGTGGGACACCCGTCATTACTGGGTTAACTGTACAATCAGAAAAGTATAGGAGGCCAATATTATTGGATATAATAATTTGATGATGTGAATAAAATGAATAGATATTAGAGTGAATATAGATGCTATAATAAAAGATAGTTTCACATATAGCAAAGAAAAAGAAAAGGAACCATCAGTACCAAGTAGTTTTACAACATTAGATTAGGATATTTTCCAGCCTTATATAGATTCATTGTGTTGGTGAACTAGTTTGAATAGTATATGTATGAAGAAAGGGGGAGAAATTGGGGTGGAATATCTATTTATTAAATATTTTTCTTTCTTTCTTCAGTGTTAGAGTACTTAGAGCTCTAAATGACTGCATATTTTTAGGGGTTAATAAAAATAAGTATATACAAATTAGGGGTTAATAAAGATAACATATATAAAGTACTCTCTCTTTCTTCTTCTTCATCTTCTTTTTATTATCATTATTATTATTTCATCTTCTAAAGGATCTGTTAAAAAACATAATGCAAGAATTAAAGGATTTCAGTTCAAAAGTCTAGCTCAAAAATTAAGGGGTAAATTGAGTGGACCCCATAATCCATTGGGAGTGGGTTATTTAATATCAATTTTAACACTGATTTGACTTCCGCCATATTTATTAGGGGCGGTTATTGACCTTTTTAAAAATCAATAATGCTTTACTTTTGAGTATCTGAGAGCCACTAAAAGTTTTATATGATGCATTTGATAAAAAGATGACATATCTGAACAGATTTATGTCACATTTAGCAAATGTGTTCTTATGCTCATAATTCATGTTAAATTATGCATAGCTCTTTTAAGTATTCCATGAGTGTTATCTATTTATAAAGGCATGCTTTCAAAACAATCAGAGAAGCAAGGTATTAGAAGGAGATGACACGCAAAGGAAAATGCTATGTGTTTAAAGGTTTCCTGCTTATTTTAATAAATCACTTTCATTTGAGTTGTAGTTTTAAGAAGTTGATAACAAATAACCTGCATTTATTGCTTCTCCATAATATGATGATAGTCAAATGAAGATTAATCATGTAAAATAGTTAAATGAGACTCTCCAATTCGAGTTCTTAAGAAACAGTGTAGAGGCAAGCCATTTGCAAGAGCCCAGTAATATTAGCAGTGTTACTGTTGCAAGGGAGGTTTGAAAGTGCCTTTAGTGAAGACCAGCAACTCCAAAAAGTGTCTTACAACAGTTTTTGCTAATACAAATAAAGCCTCTGATTGCTGGGTTGAGATCTCATGCACATTATCATGCAGGGCAGTGTGTACCAATGAGCACCTTTCCTTGTCTGACTGTACCCCCAAAAAAGTTCCTGTATTTGGATTATGGGAATTTATATCTTAAAAGTGGAATATATGTATATATTCCTTTTTACTCTCTTGTTTTTATCTCTCTCCTTTGTATTCACTTAATAGCTATATAACAAGTTTTTCTTTTTGATTGCAGAAGATACAGAGCCTAATGGACTCCAGTCAGCCACTGTGTCACAGATGGAAGTTACGCTCACAACTTCAGACTTGTCAACATCCCCCACAAAACCCTCAGCTGAGGATGGCATGGATCCCTCCACTGA